GACAACTGGAAGCGGGCCATGAAATAGTCGTGTTCTTTTTATCTATGCCTCCAAGAGAAGCGCTTAATGACCTGGGCAGTGAGGGGTTCAGGGAAAACAAACGGTAATACAGTCATGATCCCTCTGAATGACAGAGGGTGAACTGGCGCGCAGCCAAGGCAGTCGTTCCCGCCAATTGTTGCGAACTCAGAATGGTATCACTGATGGAGAAGACCGTCTTGGCTGCACTTCCACGCCCGCCACACGCCTTATCCTTTGCAGGGACAACGACTATATGTGGAATGCATGCATACTATTGACCCTCTAAAGCAAATATGGCAATCAGGAGGGACAGGAAAAGGTGACATGTCAGGAATGAATACTTTTTCAACTGAGAGGTCGCCCAACAGTAACATGAGCGCGATTTTCGGTCAGTGCCCAGATCGGTCGGCAACGGAGTCCTTACGCAAGGGATATCGGGCTGTTAGCGCGACTATGCCCCTTCAAGGCTTCCTTCAGTGATAAGACCTGCCCTTCCTCATCGAGAGTAACTACCGTCTTCTTAAACTTCTCAAGTTCCTACATTGCCGAGGTTCACTCTAGCGAGGAGAGAAGGGGGAGGGGATGGTATAGTGCAGATGAACACCTGAAACCGTAGGAAAAAGCAAGAAAGGTCAACAATCAGAAACATTTGTCACAAAAGCAATGATACTTTCCCCTCGCCACCCCCAGAGACTGAAATACGATCCCCTTGCTTGGAATTCCCCACATACGACGTGCCCTGATACCGACAGCTCTTGTGGAACCCACAATTTTGACACTAGCAATAACAAGAGAGCACATGGTCGACTATAGACAAGATAACACCCTCCCCCTCCCCAAAATCGTGGAAATATTTCAGCAGACGTTAATAGTATTAATGCGAAACTATCGAGAACAAAACCCGTAACCCGTAAAATACTGGCGCTAAACAGACCTACCCCACGAATGGACTTATAGGCTTGCTGCCAATAGAAATAGCTGATAAATTAATTCAAATATGCACTCTCTAAGGGCCACGCATTAGCTTTTTCGCCATTCAGTTTTCCCTGAAGACCCTATCAGCTGCTTATAGCCGTAACACCTTCCCGAAAACAAACTTATGTTGTGGCTTCACAATAATCCGCTTGTTTTGGATTCTGACAAAACTTCAAAAAACACCAATTCTTCAAAACATACAGATTGCTTTGTCGCCGTTGCTGTAGTAGCTAAGACTTTGATCCTCTTCCGACATCTCTTGATCACGTCCCAATTTCACCATCAACTCTTTTATGCGGAAATAGCACAGCATACGATTGTTTTGAAACTGAAATCATCCACGAATGATCGACACAAGGGAAACCGGGAAAACTTTTCAACTGCTCAGTCAAAAGCACCTGCACCGAGCCAGTATCTATGACCAGTCGATTTTCCGGAGGAAACAACTTCTGCAGATTTGAGTTCTCAAAGATGCTCATTGCATATCTAAAATACAAATACGTATGGACTTCATTATAACCTGAGTCATAAGAGAATCACGTGATCCTATGCCACAAAGATTCAAAAAAAGCGTGGAAGAAAACTACAAACTCCTAGTTAGATTGGACTTACTTATCACGATATAGAGAACGTCCAGTGATTCGGGTCAAACTGCGGAACATGTGCAAATTCACGAACGAAGGTGA